AGCTGGCAAAATATTTAAGCGATCCGAAAGAAATGTTTTTATTTGCCCGCGTGCTAACTGGGTTATCTGCCGATCTTGTTTATGAAATTTGAGGCTGCCTCTCCTGCAGTCTGTGCCACTCTCACATCTTCCCCGGCTCCCATTTCCATATTTCTGCGTGCATGTTCTTTGTTAATCACTTGGCAAGCGCTTATTTGAATATTAAAAATTTCTTTAATCATCAAAGGCAGGAGCACAGTCTCATGAATATTCATATTTTTCCCCCTCCTCATTACCCTGCAGTAAAAGCCAAACAGCCATCAATCGCCCTCATTACAGGCTCTGGCGTTTTGATTGGCTGCCGGCTGCCCAGAGCTTTTTTATTTTTTTATTTTTTTCCCTTCTCCTATGAGCTGTCTCTTACCTGCCAACTACCAAAAAAAAAAAAAAATCAACAATGCAAGAATAAATTTCTCTGGTTGAAAAGCAACTGCAAACTTGTCACACAGTCCTTGTGGCTTGCTGCTGCCAAAGCGGCCAGCAGCACTACCTGGGCCCCTAAAAAAAAAACAAAAACAAAAACAAAAAAACCCAGGAAAAAATAAAGGGGGGGGGGAGAGAGAGAGGAATAAATAAATAAATAAATAAATGGAGAGAGAGAAACTTGAGCCTCAGCGATGAATATTTGTCAAGAGAGTTGACGTAAGTTTCATTTGCATAATGACTTTGTACTTCTGCATTAATAAAATTTGCATATGAAGCCATGTTAATTACTCCTGATCATGCTTTTTGCATTCATGCATAGTAATTTTCTCCGACTTGTGAGAATTAATGTCTTGGCATGGGGGGAGGGGCGCGGGATTGTCAGGTTTCCTTGCCAGTGGCCCTCACTCGCAGGCGCTGGCTCCCTGTCTGTCTGTCTGTCGCCCTCCTGGGTCTGTGACTCATTTTTGCACTATCCGTAGGAGTTCTTGGCTTTAAAAAATGTATCCATGGAAAGGCACCGGTAGGGAGAAAAATATACATCTGCACAGTGTAGTCCAGAGCCCGTCTCCTGGCTGGGATCTGTCACCCTCCCACCCACGTGGGAGGGTCGCCCGAGGATTCAGCCTTGGGAAAGGCTCCATTCCCCTCAAAACCGGCCCCGCGTTCCCAGAGGGGTTTTTGTGTCTCCCCGCCCCGGTGGGTGTGTGTGTGTGCGCGTGTGTGTTTGCGTGTGTGTGTGCGCGTGTGTGTGTGCGTGTGTGTGTGTGTGCGTGTGTGTGCACCGGGGAAGTGGGCATGTGCGAGGAACGAAGCCGCACCATCTGCAGGGCCCCTCAGGAAGGGAGAGCGGGTTACACCCCCCCCCCCCCTCGGAACGATGCATTAAAAATTACCTTACACCCTGATGGGGAGCTTAAGAAACGTTTTGGGGTTTCTGCCTGGGCATCTTCGTGCCTCTTTGTGCAGATGCACAGAGTGAGTTGCCGATGCCCCTGAGCCGTGTGGTGCTGGGCACCCAGCCTCGGTGTCCTCATCTGTGAGAGGGGGGGGGGGTCATGTTACTGACTTCCTCAGGTGGCTGCTGGGCTTAAATGAGATGATATATGTATTCACTGTTTATTTCTCTTTCCCAAATGAAAGTGAGCTTCCATGATAAGCAGGCCAACCAGCCAGGGGTTTATTTTTAAGCCGCCTGGATCCCGGTAAAGCCGGGATGGCGTCTCGGCGTCCCTCTGCCACATACCACCGCACACGTGCGTCTGGTCCGGTTCCAGCGGGGAACCCGCCGAGACCTCCAAAGAAATTTTTTTTTTTTTTTTTTTTGCAGGAGGGCCCTGCAGGGCTCCCTAGGGTGCCTTTCCATGGGGAGGGGGGAGGGAGTTCCAGAAAGGAAAATAAATAAATGAATGAAGAAATGAATGGATGCATAACCTAAACGAACAGGGTGACCAGTTATTGCGTGTTCACTAGAAGCTCTGTTCCAGCCAGGCGTGTCCGGACTGTCCTTTAAAGGCGGGAGTCTGAGAAGTGACTCACCCAGGAAATGGCAGAGGCGAGATCAGAACCCAGGCCTCGGGCTCCCAGGCAGCCTCTCTCTGAGCTCCCGGCTTCCCGTGCACGTGTCAGCCTCTGGTCACAGGGTCTGAGTGCTCTGTCAGGGGTTCTGGGTCCCTTGGCTGCACTTTATTTTTTTTTAAATATGTTTTCTATTGATTTTTAGAGAGAGAGGAAGGGAGAGGGATTGAGAGATAGAAACATCGACGAGAGAGAAACATCATGGATCGGCTGCCTCCTGCACGCCCCGTCCTGGGGCCCGAGCCCGACACTGGGGCACGTGCCCCAACTGGGAATCAAACTGCGACCTCCTGGTCCACTGGTCGATGCTCAACCACTGAGCCACACTGGCCGGGCGCTGGCTGCACCTTTGAAGGCAGACACGCTTTCCTTGAGAAGGAACCAGAGCTGGGAGGTGGCCTGGGATGAGCAATGAAGCCAGAGACAGTCCTCACGTTGGCCTTTAGAAGAAAACGGAGATAAGATTCATAGAACAAAAAATTCACCATTTTAACCATTTCAAGGGTACGAGTCGTGGTTTTGAGTGTAGTCACCGTGTTGGGCAGCCATCACCACTATCTAATGCCAGAACCTTTTCATTCCTCCGAAAGCAACCCCGCCGTGACCCTCTCACGCCCCTCGCCGCCCCCCATCCAGGGCTCTCCCTGGATTTGCCTGTCCTGGACTCTCCCCACACGTGCGATCATACAGTGGGCGGCTCCTTTCAGCACCTTGGGCTTCTGCCCCAGCTTCAGGCCAGGACTTCTGGAGTCGCACCCTTGGGCAGGCTTACACTGCTCCAGCGGTGACCGCCCCCCCCCGCCCCCCAAGCAGGGGTTCTCTGCAGGCAGGTCAGGATTGGGAGCCCCTCGCCTTGCCGGCCCCTGCCCGGGCTCGGTGGAGCCCGCCTCCACCTGGGAGCAGGTGGACTTGGCTAGGGGAGATTCCTAATGAGGCGCTGAGGCCCCCCAGGGGCAGCCCAGCCCCCACCCGCTGAGTGAGGATGGCTGGACCCTTCCTGACTCGGGCCTGAGCCTGACCTTCCCAGAAGGAGAGAGTGTGGCTGGACTGTCCTGTGGTCCTTCCTTCCAACCACGGAGGCACAGGTTCTGCTTGCTCCCGCCTTGGGCAGTGCCACCAGCACCGGGGGCTCTGCTGGTTTTCTCAGCCCTGGGAAATGCTGTGGCCTCACCCAGAACCTGGGGACCCACCCATGTTTGCTCGTTTGCAACCTCCGATGGCCTGGCTGAGCCCACAGACCCTCCAGCTCCCCTTTCCCCCACAGCCCCTCCCTTTCAGGATCCAGGGCCGCCCCATCACTCCACCCCACTGCAGGGCACCTCCAGGCTTCAGAGACGCAACTGCGTTCAGGTTCCCAACCTCCATGAGCCTCCGCCTCCCCGTGGGACGGGGATGATCTTCCCTGCTGAGCGGGTGGCTGTGTTCGGTGTTTCGCTCAAAGCTGCTGTCACAGCCACGGGTGGTGCAGAGCCGCCCGGGGTCGGTAGGCAAGGCCTCCGTAGTGGACGGGTTCTCAGGCCAGGACTGGCCGGGGCAGGCTTCTAGGAGGGGGCAGGTGACACCGGCCTCAAGTGCCGACCCTCCCTGGGGCCTGTCTGGAATCTGGGCCATTGCCTTCTGCTCTGTGTCTGTGGCTGGAACTGCGTATGGGGCCCTCGCCACACCCTTCCTGGGCCTTGAGCTCAGAAGCATCTCAGGGCCCTGGGCGTAGCCTGGTGGGAGGTCTTCCATGGCCCAGAGGGGCCCAGGTAGTGGGGTTAGCTCTGACCTCCTGGCAGGACATTGGCAGGTCTTCTTAAATGCCCTGCTGCCCCTCCAATCCTGGGTTACAGACAAAGCACCCTGGTTCTGCAGCCAGGCAACCAGGCTGCTGGTGTGTACAGCTTTCTGGGGCCACGTCATCAGTTTCCTGGTCTGTGCAATGGGTATCGTATGCCTCACCCCAGGGCATGTTGAGAAACTCACGAGCGGTGAACACTGTGGCTCCTGGCTCGCAGCGGGTTTGCAGGGCCCTGTGGCTGGCTCTCTGGATGGAGGATCCCGCGTGAGGCCGTGGAGTGGGCAGACGCCCCCCCTGCAGACCTGCGTGGGGCGGTGAGCAGCGTCGGGCGGCCTCCCTGGCAGAGCCGGCCCAGGGCCCAGCTGCCTGTCGTGTTGTTGACGTTTTCTTTTTGTCTCTCTGATGCTTCCCCGCTCAATTATTCACCCAGGGAATTTGGGCTTCTTCACTTGTGGTTTTGGCAAGGGCTTCACACAAATGTTTTGCCCTGGTGGTCTCTTAGCCATTTAAGATAAACGGCCAAATCAAATGCAGGCCGTGCCGGGGAGCCGAGGCGAGGCAGGCCCCTGGCCCTGCGTCGTGGCCATCGGACCAGGGAGGCGTGAGGAGGGGTGCTGGGCAGTGCCAGGCTTCTCTTGGGGGTGTTCAAAGCCTCTGAAAGGCCTGGGGGCGTGGGTCGCCGAGGAGGGCCTCGGGCTGCAGGGCGGCACCAGCTGGCCGTTCGCCAGGCTGGAGGCTAACCGGCGCCCGGCGCTCCGAGGTGGACTGGGGGAGGCCGGGCCTGTCCAGACAGCCATCCGATAGAGCAGGCGGTGGCCTGGAGTTTCCCGGGGGGGTGGTGGCCCAGATTTTTGGGAACAGATGCCCAATGGGGCCTGCTCCCCAGCACTTCAGAAGCCCCCCCCCTCCCATAGGGGGACCTACCTGGGAGTGGGCACCCTGACAGCTCCCTGCATTAGGCCCTCGGGGAGGGGAGCCTGGCCCTAAGACAGCCCGACCTGGCAGCTGTGGAAGTAGCACCCCCAGGCCCCTGCCTGTGCCCCGGTGGTCTTCCCTGCGGGGCCTGGCACCCTGGAAGGGCGGCCTGCAGCCCTCTGCCCCGGGCCCCTGTTCTGCGCCCCGAGCCCCGTGTACAGTCCAGGGCCCGACTGACCAGTCTTTTCTATTGTTTTTTCTCCAGGGCCGTGCAGGCCTGCCCAGCTGCCCGCGATGGCCCCCATAGCTGCCTCCTCCTCCCACCCTCACACATCCGTGATCACCTCACCTCTGCGCGCCCTGGGCGCTCTGCCGCCCTGCTTCCCCCTGCCGTGCTGCAGCGCGCGCCCGGTCTCGGGTGACGGGACTCAGGGTGAGGGGCACACGGAGGCTCCTTTTGGATGTCAGTGTCAGTTGTCAGGTAACAGACGCCGCGGTGGGGGGGGCGGGCTCCCGGGGGTGGTGGGGTGCACCCTGGCAGAGCTAGCAGCTGCCTCTCCCAGGTGGGCCGGGGCAAGGTGGGGACCCAGGGGGGCCGTGCAGCCCCTGTCCCAAAAGGCATTTTCGGGGGGGGGGGGGGCTCCAGGGAAGTGGGGGAAGGATGCCCAACAGGAACTGAGCACCAGTGCCTGGTCCCCATGGGTCAAGGAGGTCCCCACGGCCTCCGCCCATTCTGAGTGTCTCCCAGAATGCACCCCAGCCTCCAAATTCCATCTCGTTGGGCTGTTTAGCTAAAGCTTAATTGGATAACGCTTAACATCTGAGGTTTTCTTCTGCCCTCGCCACTGCCACCCCCTCCCGCTCCCCAGCCACTGCCCCCCCCCGCCCCCCCCCCCAGAAATGGCCAGGAGAAGATTCCATGGGGGTTGTCTGTGTACATTGCCGAGCCGGCCAAAATGCGTTTCTCTTTGGGAGAATATGTTGCCCATTAACTTTGAGGGGAAAAAGCACTTTAAAGGAGCCTTTCAGGGGGATTTCATGGGGGGGGGGGGGTGTGTTAAGGGGCCTGGGCAGGGCCATGTGTTTACTGAAGGGCTGAGCACCTACTGTGCGCCTGGCTTTCGGTTGATGAGGCTGCCCATTTTACAGATGGGCACACAGGGGCAGTGAGGTGGTGACTCAACCTGGCCACCATTACAACCACCAACCCCCTCCCCACCCCCAGTCCCCAAACAGAAGGCCACCTCCTGCTCTGGCCTGGGCCCTGGTGTGTGCGCCGTGTGCCTCTCCAGCTGTGTGCGGCTTCTCGGCCGCCTGCCTGGTGTGCAGCACATCCCAGGTGGTGGACACACCTGCTGTCCGGTTTCCAGGCGGGAGAGGAGAGGGTGGGTGCAGAGCGGGGACACATCAGGATTTCTCTTGACGTGGGTGGTGGGAGGAAGGTGATTTTATTGGGCAGGGTTTGCTTTTAGTTAAAGCTCTTCCCGGGGAGGGTCCCTGCTGGAGCCCCATCTCTGTGGAGGGCCCCAGGCGGCCCAGCTCCAGGGTCAAGTGCTCGCTGGGCCTTGCTGCTGGCGAGGTAGCCTTCCCAGCATCCCCTCTGACACATGGTGGCATCATCGGGACTGGGTTATGCCTTGATCGCACCGAGAAGAATCGCCTGGGAGGGGTTCGCATAGAAGTCACGCGGGCCTGGTGTCCAGGGTGCCTGGGGCTCCTGTCCCAGCTCGTAGGTCTGTGCTCTGGTCCCTGCTCGCTGAGCGCCGGTGCCTGCGCTGTCTGGGCGGCTGCCCTGCTCTCATGGCTTCCTGTAAGGAGTGCTGCGGGCCCTGCAGCCACTGCGGGGTAGGGGTGGGGCGAGCTATCAGAGATCAGCCCAATGTCAAGTTCTGTGGTGCAGACACACCATCTCCTCGGCGCTCAGGGCTCTGCTTAACCCTCTGCCGGCTCCAGCTCTTCCTAGAAGCAGCTGTGCTGTGCGGGAGCTGTTCCACCCCCATTGTGCAGACGGGGAAGTAAAGCCTCAGGCAGGGTGGCTGGGCCAAGGTTGGGGCCCTGGAATTTGTCAGCAGGCTGCCTCCTGACAAGGCTACCCTCTGCCTACCGAGTCACATGCCTCTGCCTACATCCGGGGGATGTTCCTCACACACCTGCTCGCAGCCGCGGTACCACCTGCTTCCTTGTAAGGGCTGTGCATTGAGGGCCTACTGTTTGCTGCCTTGTTCTAGACACTTTGTGTGCATTCTTGAGTTTAATCCTCACAGCAGCCTTAGGTAGGTTCACTCCCCACTTTACAGATGAGAGAATGAGGCTCAGAGGCATTGAGGGCTCACAGCTCTCATTCATTCATTCATTCATTCATTCATTCATTCATTTACTCATCCATTCCTCCACAAAACGCCATTTCTTGGGCACCTCGTTTGTAGACACTGTGCACCCCAGACGGAATCAGGCGAGGGGTCCCTGCCCTCCCGCTGCTTGTAGTCTGGCGGTGGTGGGAGGAGCAGGAAGGGGACTGTACATCCCTTTAAAGGGGATGGAGGAGCAGAGGTGGGATTTGATCCTGGGCTGCTCAGCCAGCACCTGTTCCATCTTTGGCGTTGCCTCCTCAGTGTGAGGCCTCCTCGGGTTTTATAGCTCGATGCTATGAGGACTCAGAGACCGGAGCAGCCCCCAGAGTTGATGGCAGAGGGGTGTCTGTGCCTGGGGTCCCTGGGACCGCTCCTCCTGACCCCAGGGGCCCGCTCTCAGCCTCCAGCGCTCCACCCCGATTCCCGGCACTATCCCCTTTCATCGCCGGGTCGCCATGAATCAGCTGCGCCAGGTCGCACCACCGTATTTTCCGATGAATTTCAACCTGCAAATATCCCGTTCCTGTGGAGTTTGTCCCTCTGTAGCTTCTGCCCCTGGCACCGGCTGTTTGCTTCAGTGTGTTTAGTGCCTGTTTAATTAGCAGTTGCAATGGAGTCATTACATTCCCAGTTCCCCGTCAGGAGGAGGCAGGCCTCTGTGCAGGGGGGAAGGGGCCGCCGGCCGCACTGTGTCTTGTCCCTTTCCGGATCTGGACACACTGGACCTCTCTCTTCAAATTAATACGGAAAACCCCTGTGTAACCGCGTTTCGAGCAGGTTAATTGCCTGCCCGGGAACATGCTCGCAGCTCTTTATGGAAGGGTGTGATTTCATGGGGGAGAAGACCACACAGGCATGGTGCTGTGGGCCTCTCGGGCTGGCGGCACCCCACAAGCCCCGCCTCCCAGGACCCCAACCCAGACCCCTTTCTGGTGGTCAGGGTGGGGGAAGGGACTTCTTTGACCCCTGCGCGTCCGTTGCTCTTTGACTCGCTGAGATAACGGGCAGCCGAGTCCAGGCGTTCCTAAGAAATGAAGATTTTCCTGAGAAATTCCACGTAGGGACTTCTCCAGGCCGCCCGTGGAGTCGAGAGGTTCAGGCTGTGGTCCTGGCCCTTCCTCTACCTGGCTGGTGACCTTGAACAAGTGACCCCCCGCCCCCCCACCCTGAGCCTCATTTTCCCCATATATATATATTCATACACCTACATATACAGGGTGTCCCCCCAAAATGTGTACAGACTTGAAGAGCTGATAGCTCGGTTTTGAAAATGAAATGCATTTTAATAAACACGGCCTTTACAATGATTCAAAGTGTGTGTATACATTGTTGGGGACACCCTATATAGCTGTGATATAATGTTACAGTTAGAAACGGGGCTCCTTATATTGATCTCTGAAGTGGGTCATTTAGGCCTTTCCGTTACAGTTACTGTGGATGGCTGGGCCTGGGGCTTGGGGAGCGTGCCCTGGAGGCGTCTACGATTCAGAGGCAGACACGAGAGTGTGTCAGACCTGGGTGAAGGCCGCTCTGTGCCGCATGGCGGTGTGACCTTGGAGAGTGTGACCCTGGAGAGGTGTGACCTTGGAGAAGTCATTTCCTGCCCCTTTCCTCCGTTTCCCCACCTGCAACATGGGGGTGGTGCATGCTCTGAAGGACTGTTTGGAGGATTGCATGAGGTCATAGGTCAGGAGTGGAGAACTGTGCCCCGTGCTGAACCCTGTAGACATCGCGACTCACTGGTGAGCAGATGGGCTTCAGAACACGGCGTGGTCCGTGTCTGGCACCGCGCGGACTCTTCCTTCAAGCCGGACCCCGAGGCTCCGTTCTGAGCGGCAGATCCCCTACCAGCCTTGGGAGGTAGAGAAGGAAGCGAGAGACTTGGCTGCGTATCTAAAAGCCGCCAATGGTCAGCAGCCACACTGATTAATACATGAGTTTGGTGGAGCTCCAGGGCGCATGCAAGACCACACAGGACCCCAGCTCGGGGAAGCGGGAGCGTTCGGGTTTAATGGAAGGAGTCCGCTGCTGTCACTGGTATCTGCTGAAATCACAGGGCCATCCTGTAAAGTTAAATTCAATTTACTTTTCTACCGAGAGCCTGCTTGCTGGCTGTGTAACCAGGCGGGGGTTTCTTGGCTCGGGTTAAAGGGACAATAAAGATAAAAGAATACCTGTAAGTAAATAGGAGGGTTTAACCATCATTTCCCCCTCCTTCTGCTATATCCCAGTGTTCATTTGTGTTGGTTTTTAAAACCGGGCCGTCCAATGGGACGCCGTGGACTGGACCACCCTCGCCGTGGAAGCTTGGTGCAATTAATACAGTCTGTCTGGAAAGGGGCCTTATTTCTGGAAGCTTTATGTTAATGATATGGTCTGTGCTTTGCACATTTCATCCCAGAACAAGGAGCGAGCTGCAGTTGCATTCTGGACTGGGTTTGATTAGCACCGGAGGATCCGTGGGCAGCCACGGGGGCCGCGGGCCGAGGTGCAGCGCCCGCCAGGCCCGCGCCGGCGCACTGCCTCGACCCGCGCAGGGGCGCCGAGGTGCCCCAGTGGGGTGTGAGAGCCTCCATGGAGACTCTGGAGGGAGGGGTGAGTATGGGGTGAAGAAGAAGAGAAGTGAGTGTGGGTGAGGTGTGTGGACGGAAGCACTCCGATGCGGGGAGGTTCGGGACATGTTCTTGCGCCTCCCTTTGCAGAGTCGCGTTTGTAGATGGGTCCTGGTTGGCCAGCCAGGTCTCAGGGCCGGTGGGGGCTGGCTCACTGTAGAAGAAGGGCTCTCAGGGGAGTTATTAAAAATTTAGAGTCATTCGTACGCCTTGTGATGTCTGCACCGCCCCAAGGGCCGCAGGTCCAGCAGATGCCCCCCAGCGGGGACGTCTGCACGCCAGGCCCTGGATTCTGCTGCGGTGTCCGTCTGCTTCTGAGATCACACCAGCGCCGACCGCCGGCCTTGAGCGCCCACCATTGGAGAACGTGCTGGGAGAAGCCGTGGAGAGCTGCACGGCCCCCAGGGTAGAGGGAGCCCCCTCTCCAGGCTGGTGGAGGTGGCCCAGAGCCCCAGGGCGTGAGTGAACCCCAGAAAGTCCCCTGTCTGGCTGCCTGAAGTCACTTCTCCAGCACCAGT